GAACATTGTAAGGCTTAGCTTGCAGCTTCATTTCTGTTTTTCTCTCACTTCCCCTTATTGGTGATGAACGTGATCACCAATCAGAACGTTTATTCCCATTGAGTCTTAGTCTTAGAAGGAGGTTTGCCCTGAGGGGACCTGATCACTTGGCTTGCTGTCTCCTGGGCTAGCAACTTGCTTGTTCTTGGAGTAATCAGTCGGTCTGCCTATATTGTTTTGTATTTTTCCTGTCGGTCTTTCTTTCAAGAAGTATCTTCTGTTCTTCTAGCCTCTCCAGGCTGGTCTACTTGTCCTTTCAAGTAGAAATTTCCCACCTCAGAGGATTCTGGATGGGGTTCAGGATTCCACCTATGGTCTTATGTAATGCAGAGACTCCGTAGGAAGCCTCCTTCACTGGGCATGTTGTAGCCCCATTTTAGGTATTCCAATCAGTTACTGGCAGAAGACGGACTTATAGGTTTCTATGGTGATATTTCTGGCTATTTCCTTCTCTCTCCCTCTAGTGTCTATTTTATAATGTATGCCATGGAAACCAAGATTCAAAAGACAGCCAAGCATCTTAACATTATTCCCCTCTTTTGCCCATTCCAACCATGTCTCAATCCCTGTATCCCAGAGAACAGCAGCATTTCAAGAGTAGGAACTTAAATGTGTAAAAATTATTTTAATCTATCAATTTCAGTTTTAGAAATGTATCCTAAGGGAATAATTTAGATTGCAGGAGACAAAGCTATATAAATATGCTTATTATTTTAAATAAAAAATATAGTCTTATTTTTTAGTTTTTTAAAAAAAAGATACTTATAGTATTGGAGTCCTGGTGTGGTGCAGTAGGATAAGTACTACACCTCAAGGTCAGTTTGAAATGCAGGGTTGGTGGTTCAAATTCACTAGCTGCTCCTTGGAAACCCTATACAGAATTGCTTTATTGAAACTTACTTGACAGCATGTGACAAAATTATAGTATTATTTCTATGGGCAAAACTTTGTAAATAATGTAAATGTTCTTTTACTTGGTCAGTTATGGACACAAAATATTTACAAATTATATTTAATTATAGGGAGAAAAACTTTACAGTACATTAATGGTGTGGGAAAGGGATAGTAGAGGGTGTATTGAAATATTAATAATTCCCTCTGGATGACAAGTTTACATGATAATATTGAAAAGATGTTTTTCTGTAGTTTCAAATTTACTTTTATGAGAATGTATTATTTAAAAAATAAAAGTAATAAATAAAAGTCATTAAATTGAGTGGATGAAAGATTGTGGTGTGGGTGGTGACTTATTTAAATAGATAATCAATAACCTGGTTATTTAACCTTTATATGTTACACTTTTCTCAAACTTTCTTTTTTAGGTTGCTGTGCAGAATGACAGTTATGATACTGTTCATGGTAAAGTTTCCTTTCTCACTTATCTTAAAAATGTTCATCATATAAAATACATTTGAGAGACTTAATTTTTGGATCATTCCTAAATCTACTTCCTTTAATGGCATAATCAGTAAACCTGATTATACAGCTCTAAACGCAATGTTGAGGGAGCTATGGTGGCATATTGGTTAAGTAGTTGGTGGTTCCAACCTAGCAGTCACTTTGAGAGAGTTGAGGCTGTTTGCTTCAGTATAGATTTACTGCCTCTGAAACTTTAAGGTGCAGTTCTACTCTGTCCTATAGAGTTGTCCTATGTGAGTTGAAATTAGCTCATTAGAAGTGGGTTTGGTTTGACTTCTATGAAATATAAAGTTTTACTTGGATTAAATATCAAGTACCCCTTTTATTGGTTATAACTTCCATGCGTTTAACAGTAAACATTGTTTTTCTTTACCTTTAATCTCAGGTTGGTTCCCTGTCCCTATAGTTTTAAAATGAAACACACAACAGCAACAGTCCCAATATTATTATTTGCATATTGCTTTGTTCTAAAATGTGTTTAACATGACTGGTGAAAAGATTAAGGATATTTAGTTTTTCAGGTCCAGGAAGTTTGAATTATCTGTTCTTTTGTCTCATTTTTTGTTAATTTTGAAATTAACTTTTCTTTTCTTTTTTATTTTTGTAGGAAGTATAATGAACTCTTTGAATACCCAGGAATTTGACGAATCTGTGATAGATTGTGAACAAGCTAGTTTGAATATGGATAATAATATAAAGTTTTCTGTGTGGGTTTCTTTCTTTGAGATTTATAATGAGTATATTTATGACTTGTTTGTTCCTGTATCAGCCAAGTTTCAAAAGAGAAAGATGCTGCGCCTTTCCCAAGATGTAAAGGGCCATTCTTTTATAAAAGGTAGACTGCTGAATATTTCTATTTTATAGAACTAAACTAGAAATTGAATTTATACTAATTTTAACATCATGACAACAAGAGGAGTTTGTTCTATGGAAATATGTTCATTAACGCTTGAATACAAAGAGGTCAATTTTAGCATGGTTTTTGCTTGAGTACTAGTGATTGGAGTTTTGGAATTGGGAAAAGCTGTGTATAATGAGAGTCACATTGCTCTACTGCTTTGTAACAGTTTTCAGGCTTTCAGCTCTGAAATGTTACTGTACTTCTACAGTAGTGATTTGGAACCATATTTAACCATTGTCCTAGTAAGGAATACACATTGAGAGCATAATGACCAGTAGCTGCTGATGTGTCTGTACATAGATACATTTATAACTCAAACATTTTGATGAGTATTCTTACCTTTACTACAAGGAATGCACTGTCATGTTTTTGTATTTTGTGTATTTTTTTAAAATCCTGGTTGTGACGCAACAAATTTGATTTCATGACTCACTAATGAATGAATTGCAACCTACGTCTCACATTTTTGTAGTTTTTTTTTTTTTTTTTCTATAATTATCTTCTTTTTTAAAGTGTAAACTGACTGACAGTTTACATGGGAGAACATCGTTTCATTGTAGTGATTGCAATCTCCTCCGTGCATCATCATTCAACAGTATTTGCTTCCATTCCCTCTGTTCTCCACCCCTCCCCCCCCGCCCCAGAGGTAGGTGGGGAGAACATGTATGTAGTTTTGCAAGTTTAGTCTGCTGTATTTTGTCTTTTTCTTTCTGGATTTGTAATTCTATGGAATTTCCTTTTTAATTTTCCCTTTGGCAGGCTGTGAAAGAACATTTGTTTTGTGTGGTGGTGCTGTTGAAAATGCTGGTATAACTTTATAATAGACTCTTCTTTTGTACTTCTCTAATAGTGTTTGTAATAGATCCGTAGACTCCGTTTCAGGTGTCTTATTAACAGAAAGATTTCATTATATGTTGCTCAGTGAAGATCTTCAAAGAGATGACATTGTAAAACAAATCCTGTGTTGTTATGAATTGATGTGTCTTTTTTTTAAGATCTTCAGTGGATTCAAGTATCTGATTCCAAAGAAGCATATAGACTTTTAAAAGTAGGACTAAAGAACCAGAGTGTTGCCTTCACAAAACTGAACAATGCTTCCAGTAGAAGGTAAGGATCAAGCCCTATGGTGTCAGCTTGAATCATCTGTGGTATTGTATTCTCCTTTGATAGAAAATACAGTCATTTTAGCTTAAGGAAGGCAATAGCTTCTGATATGTTACGGCATAAAAACATTTTTTAAATTGAAGAGCATTAAACTGATAAAAATACCAATATTATTTCTCGTCCTAACATTAATTTTTATTTGAGAGACATTTCTCAGTTATGTATTTATTTTCTCTTTATGTGAATGTCTGTGGTCAGTAGTTTTAAAAGTGCTGATAATGGTGAACTTTTCTTTATACTTTTCCCATTTACCTCATAAACACAAATGCTACATAAGTTGGACCATAAATCTTAAGGAGTAAAAGGATGGTTTTAATATATAGAGACTTAATAGTGATTACAAATCAGGCTGCTAATCTCAAGGTCAGCAGTTTAAAACTACCAGCGGTTCCGCGGAAGAAAGATGATGCTTTCTGCTCTCGCAAAGATTTACAGCCTTGGGAACTCTATGCAGGGTCGCTGTGAATCAGAATTGACTTGACAGCACTTAACAACAACATACTTATTCAACCTGTATGCTGAGCAAAGAATCCGAGAAGCTGAGCAAAGAATTCGAGAAGAAAAATGTGGCATCAGGATTGGAGGAAGACTCATTAACAACCTGTGATATGCAGATGATACAGCCTTGCTTGCTGAAAGTGAAGAGGACTTAAAATATTTATTGATGAAAATCAAAGAGCACAGCCTTCGGTATGGATTGCATCTCAATGTAAGGAAAACAAAAATCCTTAGCACTGGACCAATAAATAACATTCTTATCAACGGAGAAAAAATTGAAGTTGTCAAGGACTTCATTCTTTTTGGATCAACTATCAACACTCAAGGAAGCAGCAGTCAGGAAATCAAATGACAGATCTGCACAAGACCTTTTTAAAGTGTTGAAGAACAAAGATGTCGGCTTGAGGACTAAGGTGTGCCTGACCCAAGCCATGGTATTTTCAGTCACCTCATAAGCATGCGAAAGCTGGACAGTGAATAATGAAGACTGTACAAGAATTGATGCTTTTGAGTTAGGGTGTTGGAGGAGAATATTGAAAGTACCATGGGCTGCCAAAAGAACCAATAGATTTGTGTTAGAAGAAGTGCAGCCAGAGTGCTGCTTAGAGGCCAAGATGGCCAAACTTCGTCTCTCATACTTTGGACATATTATCAGGAGGGAGCAGTCGCTGGAGAAAGATAACATGTTTTGTAAGGTGAAGGGTCAGAGAAAAAGAGGAAGACCCCTAGCGAGATGGATTGGCCACGTGGCAGCATCAATGGGCTCAAGTGTGGCAACAATTGTGAGGTTGGTCCAGGACTGGGCAGTGTTTTGTTCTGCTGTGCATAGGGTCACTATGAATCGATACCGACTTGATGGCACCTAACAACAACAATGTATGATATGTGGCACTGTGGCTTAATGCACTAGAGTACATAGTCATTTTGAACTGCAAGGTTGGCGGTTCAAGCTCATTTGCTGCTCCTATGAAACCTTATACAGGGTCGCTATGGGTCAGAACCAACTTGATGGCACTTAATAACAACAACATATGAAATGTGGAAGGCACTCTGGTGGTGTGTTTGTTATGCATTGGGAAGGTCACACCACCAGCCACTCCTAGGGAGAAAGATGAGACTGCCTGTTCAAGTATAGATTCATAGTCACAGAGACACTAAGGAGCAGTTTTATGCTGTCCTACATGGAGCTTTGGTATTGTAGTGGTCATTAATGGGGCTGCTAACCTCAGGGTCAGCAGTTCGAAACTACCAGCTGTTCCACTGGAGAAAGATGATGCTTTCTGCTTTCGTAAAGATTTACAGCTTTGGAAACCCTGTACAGGGTGGCTGTGGGTCGGATCCGACTCCACAGCACATAACAACAACAACACAGGTTGCTATGACAAGGGATTAAGGATTGGAAGACAAAAGGATGTAAGTTTAAAGGTCAAATATTTTAAATCGCTTTTCTCTTAAGTGGGTAACTTAAGATCCAGATATGTCTTTATTTAAGTCGAATTCTTGTTTTACTGTAGCTACATATGAATCTTAGACGTAAATTGAGAAATATTGTAATTATTCCAGCAATAGAAGTTAGAATGTCAAGAGAAGGAATAGGTTGGAGAGATTTGGGTTAAGTGAAAGAAAAATATCTGGTTTTAGTCAGACAGCTGGTTTGTGGGCCATAGTGGAACAGTGGTGCTGTGGGATAAGCATAGGACTGGTAACCACAAGTTTGAAAGTTCAGCTTCATCAGCCACTCTTGGAAACCCTATATGAGTCAGAATTGACTCAGCACGCAACAGCAACAGTTTCAAAATACAGTGCTGAAACTATGTCTACGTGTTAGGGACTCAGTGATTTAGTATATAAATATGGATTGATTTTGATGCTTGTCTCCTATTGATGCTGCTGTAGGATAAGCACTGGACCACAAGGTCTGTTTGAACCACAAGGTTGGTGGTTCAGATCCACCAGCCACTCTTCAGGAACTCTATAGGGGGTTGCTATGTGTCACAACCAACTTGACAGCACTTAACAACGATGCAGTGGTTAAAGTACTGGGCTGTTAATGTAAACACCTATGCGTTGAATCCACCAGCTGCTCCAAGGCTCAGAGGGGTGGTACTCTGCTTCCATAAAGAGCACAGCCTTGGAAGCCCTGGGCAGCAGTTCTTCTCTGTCCTATCGGGGCACTGGGAATGGGAATGGGCTGATGGCAGTGGGTTTGCTTTCCTTTTGTTGTTTGTTCTCTTACTGGGAATGTAAAAATGGAAAATGGAAAGATAAAATTTTATTTTTTTATATTTCCTTTTAGTCACAGCATATTCACTATTAGAGTATTACAGATTGAAGATTCTGAAATGCCTCGTGTCATACGAGTCAATGAGTAAGTTAAGCATTTTAAAAAATTGTAATTATTTTGGGTTGTTTTGAAAGATTTTTAACATAATTATTGTTTTTGTTAATTCAGATTGTCTTTATGTGATCTTGCTGGGTCAGAACGGAGCATGAAGACACAGAATGAAGGTGAAAGGTTGAGAGAGACTGGAAACATCAATACTTCTCTGTTGACCCTTGGAAAGTGTATTAATGTTTTGAAAAACAGTGAAAAGTCAAAGTAAGTATTTCTGCATTTAAGTGCTAGTAGCATATAACATTTAAAGTTTTTGTTTTTAACTTTCTCCATACATATAATAATTATATGGATTATGAGTAAAGTACTTAGCAATGTTAGATTTTAAGAAGTGAGGTAGAAATAAAATTCAAAAGACGCCAATAACGTACCAAATAAACATAATATTCTTCATGCAAGTAGGTGCCATTGAGTCAATTTTGACCCATAGCAACCCCATGTGACAAGAGAACTGGTTTCTAAGCTGTGAGCTTTATACAAATTAGATCATCCGAATCTTTTCCTGAGGAGCCTGCCGAGCCACTGAGTGGGTTAGAACTGACGACCTTGCAGTTAGCAGCTGAGTCCTTAACATTTGTGCCACTATGGCTCATTAAGGCTTTTTATAACAAATATTAAGTACCAGCTGACACTTTGGAAATAAGCTTCTCATGATGCTGGTTTAGTATTTAAAATCACTTTTGTCTTACTCTGCTGCAGTGTGTAGTCTCCTAATGGTGATAGACTTCTATATAAATGAGCATTTTAGACTGGGTCGGTAAGAAGTCAGCTTATACCATTCTTAGTTGTTTGCTGACATCTCTCATGAAGTTGCTTTACACTAGGGAACAAAATCTAGTTTAGTGTGGTTCTGTTTACATATGGCCTGTCGGGTTGCTGTTAGTAGTAGCATTTGTTAGTTGCCGTCTAGTCAATTCTGAGTCACGGTGTACGGAGTAGAAATGCACTCTATAGAATTTCCAACCATTTGGAAGCAGATTGCCAGACTGTACTTGCAAGGTGCCTCTGGGTGCGTTTGAACTGTCAACCTTTTGGTTAGTAGTCTAGTGCTTAGCCATATGTGCCATTTAGGGACTCATCCAGACTGCAATGCCATTTGAACTGCACGGTTGGCAGTTCAAGCTCACCAGCTGCTTCTCGAAAACTCTATACAGGGTCGCTATGGGTTGGAATCGATTTGACGGCACTCAACAACAACATTAGTATTGGTGTGGAGTCCTGGTATGGCACTGTGGGCTAATGTGTCAGATTGCAAAGTTGCTTGAATGGCAAGGTCAGGGGCTCAATCTCACCAGCTGCTCCTTGGAAACCCTATACTGGGTCGCTGTGGGTTGGAAACGACTTGGCGACATTCAGCAACAACATATTAGTATTCATTGTTGTTGTTAAGTGCTGTTGAGTCAGTTTCAACTCACAGCAACCCTGTATAGGGTTTCTGAGGAGTGATTGGTAAGCTTGAACCACTGACCTTGCAGTTCAAACTGACCTCGCAGTCCAGAGCACTAAATCACAGCACCACATTAGGATTCCATTAGTGATTAGCATCATCTACAGTAATTGAATTTTTTGTTTATGTTGTGTTCTTTAAATACCACTACAACACAACAAAAACAACAGCAATAAAACAATTGTTGCAGGTAATACTAATCACTAACCTTTCTTTATAAAATTTATCAACATCCAGACTTCATGAGATTTGTTAAAAGTCAGTGTTTTTGAAAAATTTTTCCATAGATTTCAACAGCATGTGCCTTTCCGGGAAAGTAAACTCACCCACTATTTTCAAAGTTTTTTTAATGGTAAAGGGAAAATATGTATGATCGTCAACATCAGTCAGTGTTGTTTTGCCTATGATGAAACACTCAATGTATTGAAGTTCTCAGCCATTGCGCAAAAAGTAAGTATATTTAAACTTGTGTAGAATGTATTAAACCTCTTCTGAGTTATAGAAGGTTGGTTATCTTTTCTTAGAAAAGTTGAATTGAAAGTTAAAAATGTAAATATGTAACTAATTAGAAAGGTGGGAAAAATGGAATGTTATCTGTGAGATTTTAAATGACAGTGATACAGGTTAATAATAAGCATCAGTTACATATTAAGAGTGTTATTAGAATGCATTGTTTGTTCTACCATCCGTCTGGTTCATCTAGTGCTCCTGGGTGTACCCTGGTAAACATAGAACTAAGTGCTTAACCCAGGAAGGTAGAGTTACCTAGTTTTTGTGTATCCAGTTGGCTTTTTCTTATTTTGTTTAAGGACGCCAATTCCTGTTTTTATATGTTGTGTGTGTAGTTTTCTTTAAAAATTCAAGTTGTTATTTGATTTAAATCTGTAAAATTAATAATCTCTTAGTGAATATTCATTGTCTTTTCTGTTTTAAAAGACATGTTGGGTATCTTAACAGGTTTTTGTTCCAGACACTTTAAATACCTCGCAAGAAAAATCATTTGCACTTGTCAGATATTCTCACGATGTATCATTAGACGTTAATGATTCAGATAGAAAAAATGTAACAAGAACCACCATTTCATGGGAAAGTAATGTGGAAGATTTGGTGGAAAATGAAGATTTGACTGAGGATCTAGAAAAACTTGAAGAAAAGCCAAGTGCACAAACTGAATCTGCAGAAGAAGATCTAGATCAGACGTTAGAGGAAGACAAGGCTCTCATTAGTCAAGAGGAGAAGAGAGTATGTATTAACAGCTTATACTTGTAAACTTGATTGATTAATGTGAAGTTAAAATGAACAATTCTTAAGACCTCTTGTTGTGTTTTTTCATCAATCCTCCAAACTTTTTTTTGCCAACTTTGAAACATTAAAAACCTACAAAAGATGAGTAAAATGAACATCCAGTCACCCATTTATTGTCCACCTGGATTTGCTGATTGCTAGCATATTGTCGTATTTACTTCGACTTCCATTATTGATGTTAGTACACATTTTTTTCCCTGAACCATTTGAAATAATTTTACAAGTAAATACTTGAACATATGTATTCTAAGTGGCCACCTTCCCTCAAAATCAAAATCCATTTTCATATTCAAGAACTTTAACATTCATATAATACCATTCATATTCAGACTTTTTCAGTGATCCTGTTATATCTTTTATAGCTTATTTGTTATAAGAGCTATAACCAAAGCTAGCACATTGTTTTTCATTGTCATTTATATAGTAATCGCTAATCTAGCAATGATATTTTTGCAGAGTTGGGACTAGTTGTAGAATACCCCCAATCTAGATTTTTCTGATCTTGTTTTTCTTCATGATTTAGAGTTATCACTTCAGGCAAGCATATTCTATAGGTGAAGCTGTCAGTTTCCCGTTGCATCACCCCAGGATTCATATGATGTCTGATTTTCTTATACTTGCTCACTTGAGATCACCTTTTATTATTAAAGCACTCAATCTGTGGGATGTTTTAAGACCAGGTTAATGTTTTGTTCTCTAGTATTCTTTCACCCAATGACTGTAGCATATTTTGCCAAATTTGTAATGTACAATTTTAAGGACAAGTCCTCAAAATATCTGTCTAGTACCAGTTATCCTAATTCTTAAAAAATAGGTATTCCTTGGTAATCTGATATCTTAAGGTAAAAAGTATTGTTTAAGAGTGGATCTTTCAGCCTCTGCCCAAATATAGTGTGCATGTCTATTTCAGTTAAATTAATTTTGAAATTTAGGTCATGCCTGTATTTCCATTGCCCACATTAATTGACCATAACTGTGCAAGTATACACAAGTGTATACCAGTGCTTGGGAACATTGGTAAACCTGTGCTTCTGGATACGCTGTAATAATTTTAGTGTAACCTACACCATTGTGCTCTCTTAGACTGTAGAACTCCAAAAAATGAATTCAAGACAGTCAGTTTAATGCTTTACTTAAGTACCTTTGGAAGCTACCATTATACCTGTTGTTTGTATACATGAATGAAAACTTCTGATGCCATACGAGTCCCAGTTTATCTGGTTACCATTTGATTGGACCTTAATTGTTGATTTACTTATTGTAAATATCTTCGATTTGGTACCGACTCATTGCAACCCTGTGTAGGGTTTCCAATGAATGGCTGGTGAGCTTAATCTGCTGACCTTGCTGTTCAAACTGACTCTGCAGTCCAGTGCATTAACCCGCAGCACCATACCAGGACTATCTGTAATCTAGTACTTTTCTCAGTAAAAAAAAAAAAAAAGGAGGGATTTAGTAGTCCTGTTTTAGTTTGGGCTGATCTTTTCAAACAATTTGACATTTTTATATATTAATTGAATTTAAATGTTAGTACAATTTCTCAATTTGCTAAGGAAAAAGTATTTAATGCTATAGTTTATGATGTATTCCACCACCACTAAACATTGCCACCCTGTAGATTTCAACTCATAGTGACCCTGTATAGGGTTTCTGAGGAGTCCCTGGTGGGTTTGAACTGCCAGCCTTGCAGTTTTCATAAATTCATCCTTTTTTCTTTGTAACATTGACTTGGTTGTTATAAGATGTCATTGAATCAGTTCAGAAACCTTAAAAAGACTATATAGCTGTTTTCTTAATGCCTTAATTTATTGAGTTCTGAATACATTATGACAAAGCTACATGTTAGTTCCTTTGTTTGGTCATTGCCCGTATTAACTTGTATACGTGGTTTTAAGACTGTAGAGTTGAAGTCCACACTTAGATAATTAAAAGTCCACTAAGATAAGTTTATGTAACAGCTCTCCATGGCACTTTGGAAAGTGTTTTGAGTTTCTTAACAACTTAATTCCTTTGTATAACACTTCAGGTTTAAAGTTTGGCAGACTAGTTTTGAACCCCTACTTAACTTACCTCACTTAAGATATGTGAAGGCTGGATGAAATTATATTACATACGGACCTTCTCAAAGTATTCCTCTGTTTCTAAAATGTGCAAAATTCTATTTAACATTTCAGAGTAATGGTTCTTTGTAAATGTATGTAGTTTTAGTTATAATTACTTTTAAAAGAATAATGTATAATTATGATCAACTAAATGAACAGAGTAAGAATTTTATTTTCTGGTCATCTAGGCAATATGTCTCTTAAGATCTATTTGTTCTTTTATAGTAATTTTAATATCTGCATGTTTTAGAAACTGTTGGATTTGATAGAAGACTTGAGAAAAAAACTGATAAATGAAAGAAAAGAGAAATTAACATTGGAATTTAAAATTCGAGAAGAAGTTACACAGGAGTTTACTCACTATTTGGCTCAACGGGAAGCTGACTTTAAGTAAGTTGTCCTGGTTAAATATGAGAGTTTTACTTGTTTTATGTTAAATGGTGTCTGAATTAAGGAATTGACCTCTGTGGACAAGGTTGAAAATAGTTGTTTGAAATCTCTATGGTGATCCTGAGTTATATGTGGGTGACTTTTTTTTTTAAGTTTATAGTGTTCTTAATTTTGTATATTTAAAACAAAACCATGAAGTTATACTTTTTCTGTTTCTTAATGGGATTAATTTTATGTTATGAAGGGAGACTCTCCTTCAGGAACGAGAGATACTAGAAGAAAATGCTGAATGTCGTTTGGCGATCTTTAAGGATTTGGTTGGTCAATGTGACACTAAAGAAGAACCAAGGAATTTAGAATGTGCCATGAAAGATGAAACTGAAGTATGCTCATTGAAATATTAGAAAAAAAAAAAATCCAGTAAGGTTTTTGGTGTTAGAATTTAGTGTGCTGTTTAGCTGCTGAGAAACAATATTCAGAATTTTTTAAAAAAACAAGCAAAACAATTTAATATGTAGTTTTATTATTATTGAGCATGGTTTGTTAGAGATGTAAGCATATGTAGTTTAATATAGTAATTGCACTTGGAATAATTTATACTTCTTACATTTATGTCTTAATGTGATATTGTATTGATTATAAGTTTCTGTTTCTTTTTGTTTAAAACAGATCTGCTTTTAACTTGAAGTCTAAATGCTCTGTTTAAAACGTTATCTTTTTTTTTTCTTTTAACTGTATTGCCTCTATTTCCCTTTTTTTGAATGTACAAAAAAACGCGCAGGGACATATAATTGTTTTTAAGCAACCAAAGGGCACATTTTGCAAGCTAGCCTCCTGCCTGCCAGCACACAGCCTTTTTCTTTCCATAAGTCTACAGGCCTCTGCTGCTCTATCTCTCCAAGCCATCACCTCTGCCTGCATCTTTGGTGTCGCTGCTTCTCTGGTTAGGGTCCCACGGTCTGCTCATGCTCTTCTCTCTTGGTGGTCCTAGGGCCCTCTGTTCCTGGAATGTAAGATTAATTAGTCCCCCCTTTTTGTTATACAACTTCAACTTTTACAGTTGTGACAATTGCAAGTAGCCATGGTAACAGTTACTCACTATTGAATCAAAGGAATCCTATCCCCATCTCCTTTCACAGACCCATCTAGATAAGGTGACAACTATTCAGTGGGGATTCTATCTTGCCCTGCTCACTCTGAAACTACACTGCCTCTTGAAAACTTGTAAGCCAGCCACTTCATGTTATGCCTTTTTAGCCACCATCTCGCCCCCCCCCCCCATTTTAGGTAGCCAGTGTCTAATTTGCATGGTCCTTCCCTCTCCATTGGCATTTTG